ATAGCACAGAATTATAGGAATTGGTTATCAAGATGCCAGGACACCAACACTGCACCAAAATCTCCACCCCAGCTCCCTTGGTGCTCTTGCACTAGCCTAAATAGCAGATGTGGGCAACCGCAGCACCATTTGTTCTCCCACTAATAAAACATAGATTTCCTACTGTCTGCTGATAGGGGGCAGTGACTTCAACATAAGAAGCCCCATGCTTTGTAGATCCTGTCTTTGCACTAGTGGTGTTTTTTGTCTCTGCTTTGAAAAGTCCTTAACTTTTCATACCTTGCTGGCCTTGCTAAACCATGCAGACAACAATGCAGGGGGAATAATTGGTACTGATTATTCAATATGCCAAGAGGGGGGAGGAAAAATTGCAGTGAAGTGTCAGCTGCTTCTATCATGGCACTGGCACAAAAACAGGAGCCATGACAACCTGAAATATCAGTGCTGCAAAAATAAATCTATATATTAAAAAAATAAATAAACTTTCCAAAATATTGCTGCAGAAGATAATTCTGAAATTCTGTAGAACTGCAGAAACTATGAAAATAGAATAGAATTGCAGAATAGCTTTTTTTTCATGCAAGATGGAACAGCATGAGTAGACATTTGAAGCTATTTACAAACTAAATATATTTCAATAAACCAGGATGGAAAAAAATGAGATTTTGTATTGGAAACATTTCTGATCATGGCCACAGAACTCGTCACGCTGTAAATTAAAGAATTTTGTCTTCTTTCCTTCTCTCTTTGGGGTCTGTGGGCTTCTTCTTGCTGATCACTGACACTGACAAGGTTTGATCTTTGCACCAAACTGAGTGTATATTCCCACAGAGTGGTCTGTAGGTCCATAATTTACATCAATGAATTAGACATCTTGGAAACATTCCATGAGACTGCATCTTGTGTGTGTAGCTTTAGTACCTCAAATACTTAGAATCAGATAATACAAAAAATCAGTCTCCATCCTATTTACAAACTCTCTTTTAAATACTGAAAAGCCGCAATGAGGTCTCCCCAAAACCTTCTCTTCTCCAGGCAAACAAGCCCAGTTCCCTCAGCCTTCCTCCATATGAGAGGTGCTCCAACCTTCTGAGCATCTTCATGGTCTCCTCTGCATCTGTTTCAGCAGTTTCACACCTTTTACTGGGGGCCCCAAGCCTGGACACAGTACTCCAGGTAAGGCCTCAAGGGAGTGGAGTGAAGATGGGAGAATCACCAGGTGATCACTGGTCATGCATCTTCACCTACCACTGTAAGGGAGCTGATTCTTCTAGCTGCACATTAGAATCAGACATTTTTTTGTGTGGGTGCAGCACATAAGTTCACAGTGGTAACCTCTGCACAGCTCTTACAGAGTGCAGAGGGATGTGGCTTTCTGAGGTTACTTTAAAGGTAGCTCAAGTGCATCCCAGCTTCACTCAAACCTCCAGCTGCAGGGGAGAAACAGCACCAGTGCTGTTTTCACACACATACCCTCTACACATTGTTGAGGATAGACTTCCGCCTCAGCACTCCGTTTGGGCCAGCAGTTTGCTTTATGCCTCATGTCTGAAGTTTAAAATCTTAAAATCTTGGTTGGAGTAAAACCTGGGTCTACCAGTAAAGTCTTATCTGTGCCCTTATTTGGCTGTCTTTCTCTGCAACAGTCCTTCAATTTAAAGTGCTTACAGTTGGATAGTTTGTTGAACGATCTAACATGAATGTGGTATTTATAAAAATATACAAATATTACTTCTTTGTCCACAGTACGTAATTATATTTGCTTGACTGACATCAAGAAATACTCCTTCTGAAAAAAAAAAAGTTTTTAATAATTTCATAGGATTTTCTGTGAAAACCAATGTAATAAACAAGAGTCTATAGCAGAGTGATGCAGAGCTTCAGAGTTGCCTGAGCACAGCTGCGTTAGCACACAGATCCTCTCTTTCCAGTCTCATTAATATTTCAGATCATTCCACAATGGACACTTATTCTTATGAGGCCCAGCGATGTGCCAGACACAGCCTCATAGAGAGGAATAATACTCATATTTCCATTCAATGTTTGGCCCAGTTTCTCCAGGGAAAGGAAAAGAAGCAATCACGAGACTGAAGTGCCAGCATGTCTTCAGAAAACTTCTGCGCTAAGGAAAAATTCCGCGCTGCGGTGGGGGAACTGGTGTGAATTTCCTTTCTCTGCTGCAGTGAATTTAGTGACATCCACAGACGGACTTAAAGTGACTGCCCAGCAGTATTAAATTCCCTTTAACAGACTGACTTATGCCAGTGATTTACAAAAATATCTCTTTGGAATTCGTCCAAACATACCACAGATGCTGGCAAGCTCCGTTCCAAAAATAGTCCTCAGCTAACAGCTTCCAAGCTCCACACAAGAGTCAAATTGCCTCACTTCAACATGGGGCTACGTTCTTTCTGTCAGAGACCTCACCTCCCTATCCAGGTGTGTGTCTTGGTTTCAATTAGGGCAGAGTTGGTTTTCTTCATGGAGTATGGTACGGTGCTGTGTTGTGGCTTCAGGAGAAAGATGGTGCTGACAGCACAGTGGCGTTTCTTTCAGCTGTCACTGAGCAGTGCTGCACAGAGCCAAGGCCGTTCCGCTTTCTCGTACCGTCTGCAGAGAGGGGCTGAGGGGGCACAGGGAGCTGGGAGGAGACAGAAGCGGGACAGCCGGCCCAAATGGCCACAGGGAGGTTCCATGCCATATGGTGTCCTGTGGGAAAGCTGTAACACTGAGGGGAGTTGGCTGTGGGGGCAGCCACTGTGTGGGGACTGGCTGGGCATCGGTCAGTGCATAGTGAGCAGCTGTGTTGTGCTTTGTAAATATGTGCAAATATATATTATTGTTATCATTACTATTACTTCTCTCTTCCTCTTCCGTGATAGTAAATAGTTTCTATCTCAACCTACGGCTTTTGCATTATTTTCCCCATTCTCTCCCTCATTCCCGTGGGAGCAGTGGGGAGTGAATGTCTGTGTGTTGAGCTGTTGCTGGGTTAAACCACAACAGTGTAATGATGAGGAAAAGTCTTTTTCTTTTAAAGTAAATTCAAATTTATTGTGTTTACAAAAAGAAGAAGAAAAAGAAAGAAAAAAAGAAAAAGAGGAAAGAGAAAAAGGGAAAGGGAAAGGGAAAGAAAAAGGAAAAGAAAAAGGAAAAGGGAGAGGGAAATTGAAAGGGAAAGGGAAAGGGAAAGGGAAAGGGAAAGGGAAAGGGAAAG